ACTTAGAGCTTTTTATTAACAAACTTAAAATGCGGAAATGGCAATACTTGTAATTATATGCCTAATTGAATAAAATCAAAGTTTTTGTTAATATAATATTTGGCTAAATTTTATGTTCATGTATTTAAATATTATTTTTAGAAAAGATCATAAGATATACTTAACATAATTGATAACAAAAAAGATTTTTTCCATCAAAATTGATTTCAAAGTGCTGCAACTTCTTAATGGATTGAAATAGAGTCAAAATTAATGCTTTTCAGCGTTGGTTACACGTTACCTTATGATCGATCTGGGGTCATTTTTAGCCTGTCACAAGTCCAAAATTTTCTTGGCGATGAGGGGGACTGCCGTCCCCTTCAACCCCCCCCCCCAAACAGAAGAGGGCACATCCCCCTTCTGGCAACCCCCTGATGTATCTTTTGGTTGGGGGCCGCGCCGAAAAAGTGGTCACTTTTTTAAACAACATTTCTCAACCAAAAACAAGTGTTGGGGCCTAAATAAGGCATTTTTTCACCATTTGAGACAACAAAAAAGGTGATGAAAAAGGCGTTAAAGGCGTGTATATCGCGTAATGGGTTAATACGATCCCGGCTTTTCTGAATATTACATGGTAGTGTCTAATTCCCGGCTTTTCTTAGATCAAAGATGTTTAAAATATTGTACACGTATCGTAATGATTTCATAGGGAAAATGATAATCTGTCCTATTGAAACGTTTGTTTTAATATTTTTAAAGGTACAATATACTCATATATTGATAGGAGTAAAATTATTTGAACATTACAAGTCTGATTCTGTGTCCACGGGGGAGGAAGTGTTACACGAAGGATGGAGTTCTTATGATAACTTGTTTGGAGTTCTTATGATAACTGTCAAGGAGTTTCTGGAAAATGTTACGGATTTCTGTGGAAAACTTTTCCATATACTTGGAGAACTTGCGTAAAAAATGGTTATTTTTAACTTTAAATGAGGAGTTTGAGGTGCTAAATTAAACTTTGATAATTAAGCTTGCCCTACATATTGTATTATGTTTCAGAAAAACTCTTTTAGTCCATATTTCGTCGCCGTTTTAAAAAAAATCTGGTAGTTTTGAGAAAAATTTCCAAATTACTTGCTAATTCGTACATATTGACCTTTTCATTTGAGATCTTCTTCGTTGCTATACATAATTACCTAATTATTATGGAGAGTTGCAAACATAAAGCCCGGGCTAATAAATGTTTACCCGATTTTTCAAATGTTACGGAGTTCTTGTGATAACTCAAAATATGTCCTGGAGTTCTTATGATAACTTTTGTTACTGCCAGTGTGTTTTTGTGCGTAATCACGGCACGTTTAAGCGTATTTTATTAGTCAATTAGTGTGTAAATCATTATGAAGCATAGTACGCTTATCATTTGCACAAAAATTTGGTTATATAACGTTGGTTTTGATCGTGTTTTTCAGTTCAAGAGATATTTTTCTTACCTCCGTTTCTTGTGTTTTTTTGTGTTTGTTTTGGTCTTTTTGTGTGTGTTTTTTTATTTTATTGGAATACGCTTTGAATTTAATACTCAAGCATGATTTCTTCATATATACATTATTCCTTGCAGTTTTAGAGAACATTAAGTAACTATGCTATCGGTGTTTACAAATGATTTTCAGCAAAATAGGAGGTAGTATGCACTACCTTTAAATTATCTAAATTTAATGAGGTGGGTGTCGTCTTTATGTATTCAACGGGTATTTCAATTTCTAAACGAATCAGTTTTTTGTCATAGAAACGTATAAAGTTCTATGACAATGATATGACGATAGAAAGTAAGTCTTCAATAAGATATGTGAGTCACCGTAAGGTTCATGCCGTTTATCAACCTTGTTTCTTTCTCTATTAAATCTAATGTAGCATCACGTGACGTACAACAATCTCCATATTTCGGAAAATTACTGCATACATTTCGGGTGCATGGGTGTGAAGGGTATCCCGGTTAAATACGATACATGGTATATAATGATACAATTTACTTAGCCGCTTCTTGAGGGAAGCCCAACTACTTATTGTCTGCTTTAGAAAGGTGGTTGCTTAAAACATGTAACTGAGAAAAAAGTGTAAGTTTTAAACAATTTTTCCTTGGCGGTTTAAGCCATGTTACTGCTGAATACAGGTGACCGCTGATTCAGGTTTTCCTGAAGATTTTTGTTTGTTTGTTTGTTTCATTTTACGCCTTTTCCCAACAGTATTTCAGTCATATGGGCGGGTAGTTTCCTAACCATCGTTCCTGGAGAGTTACACCAGTACTAGACTACCTTCCTCCGTGCTAAACTACCAAAGCATCTCCCGGGGATCGAACCCACGCCAGAGAGGTAACTGGATTAGAAGTCATCGACTCAAACCCCTCGACCACGGAGGCGGTCGTTCCTGAAGATAGCTTAGCACCTGTTTATCCTATGTAGACTGTACACCAAAGCAGTTTCATGTCTTCTCCAGATATATTGAATGATCGTGTTTTAATTTTGCCACATGGCCTCAATGTTGCATTTGCGGAAACTTATGACATAAAACTTTTGTTGACGAACAGTATACACAGAAACATTTAGTGCATTCGTTGGGTTTTATAATGTCAATATGATTTCGCACAAATTTAATTAGGAACTAAAACACGATCAAAACCTACGTTATATAACCAAATTTTTGTGCAAATGATAAGCGTACTATGCTTCATAATGATTTACACACTAATTGACTAATACAATACGCTTTTAAAAACGTGCCGTGATTAAGCACAAGAAACACACTGGCAGTAACAAAGATTATCATAAGAACTCCAGGACATATTTTGAGTTATCACAAGAACTCCGTAACATTTGAAAAACCGGGTATACTTTTATTAGCCCGGGCTTTATGTTTGCAACTCTCCACTATAATTAGGTGATTATGTATAGCAACGAAGAAGATCACAAATGAAAAGGTCAATATGCACGAATTAGCAAGTAATTTGGAAATTTTTCTCAAAACTACCAGATTTTTTTAAAACGGCGACGAAATATGGAGTAAAATATTTTTTTCTGAAACATAATACAATATGTAGGGCAAGCTTAATTATCAAAGTTTAATTTAGCACCTCAAACTCCCCATTTAAAGTTAAAAATAACCGTTTTTAAGCGAGTTCTCCAAGTATATGGAAAAGTTTTCCACAGAAATCCGTAACGTTTTCCAGGAACTCCTTGACAGTTATCATAAGAACTCCAAACAAGTTATCATAAGAACTCCATCCTTCGTGTAACACTTCCTCCCCCGTAGTGTCGATGACACCGAGAACAGGTGGTCAATTCCCCGGATTACTATATGTTTAATACGATCCAGATCCAGGCTTTTCTGTAGGCGATCCCGGGATTTCCCCCCACCGGTATTTAGTGTATGCATTTACTCTGTCTACATGCATATTCATATGTACTCATATTCCTCTTTGTTAAAGTGAGAGAAATGGCTTCCATAACTTTATATGTCACTTTTATTTTGATGTTCGCTGAAGTCTCTTCAGCTAACAGAGCCGTCATTTTTGTGTCGCCTCTACGGAGTAGTGACGACATATTGGGATCACTTCTCCGTCGTCTGACTGTCCGTCTGTCAGTCCGTACAAACCAGAGCTACATTATGGGGTTTGGTCTATTGTTCTCAAAACAATAGATGTCTTTGATGTCATTCATTCCGTTTCTCTTGTGGGGTTATTTTCTGCATTGTGGAGTTAAAAAGAACAAAAGAAATAACAAAAGAAAACCCCATAATGTAGCTCTGGTAAGAATGGACGTCTGTCCGTCCGTCACAAAACTTGTCCGGACTACTCCTCATAATTTACTGGTGCAATTTCATCCAAACTTTACAGGAATGATCAGTACCAAGTCTTGTTGTGCATATTGTCAGCATTTTCCGTTTTAATGATTTTTGTGAGAGTTATGGCCCTTTGATAATTTTTATTTTTAAAGTTTGTCCGGACTACTTCTCTTATACCATTAATGCAATTTCAATGAAACTTTACAGGATTGATCTGTAGCTCAAGTCCTTGCGCATATTGCACGGGTTTTTTGGTTGAAGGATTTTTGGCCGAGTCATGGCCTTTTGATAAAAAGGTGTTTTTTTCTGTGTGTTGCCAGATACACAAAAGCTTGTCCGGACTACTCCTCATAAACTACTGGTGCAATTTTATCCAAACTTTACAGGAATAATAAGTACCAAATCTAGTTGTGCACTGTCCGTCTGTCTGTCCGTCTGTCACAAAACTTGTCCCAACATGAAATTGGCTATCATGAGGCGACACATGTGATCACTGATCGCTCTTGTTACATTTAAACTCACCCCTTGGAAAAAATTACGAAGCGAGTCGCTACTTGCTTTTTTAAAAGCTAACCTTGTTTTTAATTACAATATTTTAACCATGTGTGCGTTTTCTAAGAAAGGAAACTTTCTTATCTTACTCATTGCAAAACTATGTTAGTTATGCTAAATAAGGTTAACAGTACGGTAGATCTATAATGTTTTATTTAAAGTTGTCAATTTATGAAGCTGAATTTGCTGAATTCACAATGTTGGAATTATGAATTCATGAACATAAAATCGTCAACTGAAATCGTAATTTCGTGAATTAAAATCATAATGGTCAGGTTTTTTCTTCTTGTTTTGATGTAAAATATGAGAGGAACACAGGGACAAGATTTTATTTCCATATTGCTGCATCGTAACTAACGGAGGAATATTCCTGTAAGTTTTGATAGAAGTTTAAGTTTTGGCTAAACCAAAGTACCGTTTTAACTGAAGTTTGACGGGAAAAGCCGAAAACGCATGAGCGGCTTCGGATTTATATCGATATGTTCCGACTTAAGGCGATATAAAGATTACCCATTCATTAAGTGTTCGTAATCTTTAAGACGTAAGCAGTCAGGTGATTGATATGAGACGTCCATAACTCGAGGCAAAAGAGCAGGTGTGAATTTTGGTCAAGAGGTCATGTTTATCTTAAATATGCCATGGGAACCAACCATTGTTAATGATAAACGCAGTCATAGACATTTATAACAGAATAAAGTGATGGAGAATTTAGTAGGAATTTTCGCAATATCTGCATTTGGAATTGTAACAGGTGAAAAAAAATTGGTTTATACTTTTTTTGTGATCTTATCTGACTTTACCATTCACAGAGCTATATAAAATGTGTCCTAAAAAGACACCTTCAAATAACTTTTACCTTCGGTTTCCCATATTTTTGCCAGTTAGCTAGTCGCTTATGGCACTACAATATATTTACTAAATTTGTTGGGGTCGCGTGAAAGGTATTGTGACATTTACATAACTTATCGAATACTTACCTTTAACCTGTATGAGGATCAAAGTCTGCGATGATTATCTATAGTTTCTTGCTATTTTCTTTCTTTGGCCGGTGACCACAACTCTAAAGTGAATGTGTAATATCGCCTACTTATCCTAGCGAACTCTCTAACGTATTTTGATAAAATAACTCGTATTTGAGTTAAAATGTTGCATATTTAAGCTTTCTTTTCAGCACAGTTCCAAAATCCATTTTCTGCAATGATGAACACCGGAACCGGAAGCACAAACAATGCCACCGGATGCGGAACTAGAATAAATTCATGTGCTCCGTGGTGCAGCAAAAGTCTGGATGCAAACGGTTGCATGGTGTGCAGTTGTCAGAACGGAGGTTTGTCCCATTTAAACTAATGAATGTCTAAATTTGTATAAGGAATAATAGCAAATTGGATGTATTTAAGTTTGAATCTCACAAACTCTATTAGAATGAGAGCTAAGGGCCATTTAAACAAAGAGCTGAGAGTCATATGATCAAAGAGCTGAGTGCCATATAATCAAAAATTTACAGCAAAGCAAATATATATAAAGTCTCTCATTTACAAAAAAAAAACACTTAAATGCAAGAGATTATTTAATACAAATGTTTGTATACAAAGGTTCTTATGTCAGAATCGAGCGCATCATGCTTAAATGCAATGATATTCCAATGAAACTTATTTATTATATACTTATAAATGAAATATTGAGAAATATTGATGAAAAAAATGTATTTTTCTTTTCCGTATTTTCACAGTAAAGAAAATGTTTTACTGCTGTGAAATATATTTTCGTATTTTCACTGGTGTCTTGCCGGACTACTTTCTTCTAAATTCAGCCAATATACAAAATTAAAAGGGAATTCTTCCTATTCATAAGGGTATAAAAAAAAGAAAAAGCGTATAATAGGCAGAAAATGTAAGTTGTTTTCTATTAATACAGGATTTATTTTCATCTTGTGGTATGAAAATTACCATATTTTTCTCGTGGCTACTGCCACTCGTGAAATATTTATTTTCATACCATTCGATGAAAATAAATCCTGTATTTATGAAAGAAACTCGAATATCCTCTATATATTCCCCGTTGTATTGTATATTTATCAAAGTACTTCTTAACTAGATGAAATTGTTTATAAAATTGTTGAATAGTGATAAAATCTATTCTTCAGGTATTGATTTTTGCCCTACGCAGATGCGCATGCGCGAAATGTTTCTTCCGTTTCTAAGAAAATATCGTATTGTAAAATTGTCTTATTAAAGCTGTGTTTGCCAAGTAGTTTAGATAAAGCATATTTTATTGTATACATATACATACACAAAATTTCACAATAAAACATAATTAATTAAACATAAATACATTAATGTAAATGTACAAAGCGGTGGGGCCAAAAGTTATAAATATATTATCGAGGGACCGTACATTTTCATAACTATGGTTCAAATAAATTATTCGACTATAAATATGATATACACATGTTGGTAACAATTTCTAAATGCTAGCTTGCTACACACTTTTAACTTTAAGATTCACTCTTAAAAATGTTATTAAAATCAAAATCTTGCGTTTCAGCTAGCGAATCGCAAAGGCAAATGCTTTCAAAAAAGGTAAACATAATTATAAAAACGAAAATAAAACGGTTTTTAGAAAACTACATGTACGCTTGTACCTTTAACTTCCAGGTATGCGACCAATGGGTGGTATTAATCCAATGAGCGGGGGAATAAATCCAATGAGTGGGGGAATGAATCCAATGAGCGGGGGAATGAATCCAATGGGAATGAACCCCATGAATCAAATGTCACAGATGTTTCCTGGTTTAACAGGGGGAAGTTCCCCAATGACTGGAAATGTCCAAAAACAAGGACAAACAGCTTGCTCTCCCGCACCAACTACATGCCCGGTTCCCCAGCCTTGGTGTGAGCGGATTGCAGACGTAATGGATGGTATTAAAAATGTCTGTGTGGTAAAGGTCAGTATAATTGTTAAGTATTAATTAAAAAAAGTAAAGTCATTCGAATTGAATATCTTGTTAATTTTCGATCATTTTTTTTTCCGTTACATTCCGTATCATGAAAACATTTAGATCATGTAAAAGTCCTTTTCTAAGTCATCGTGAACTGTCGTGCAATTTTTTCGCTACTTTCCGTACATGTGTAGACTGTCGGCCATTTCCGTATTTCTATATCTAAAACATTGCGTATAAGCAGGATGAGTAACGAACCAAAACCTGTTACTGTTTAAGCAAGAATCAATGAGTGACGTATAATTTTATATGTGGAGAGCATTCCCCTTGGAGTACTAAGAATGCCGGATGACAAAGCATTTATTCTATTATCTAAATACCTTAATACAAAGCATATCTTATATATTAATTTGAATTATTTTGTTTTATAACTTCTTAAAATACAAGTCTATTTTTCGATAAACTTGAATATCGATTTGCCTGTGTTAACAGAAAAGGTCGTAGCATACGTACAAGGCCTGAATGGTCAAAAACACAATCCGTCTTCAGGAAAACATTGTCCACAAGCACGTCAACTACGAATTGCACCAAGCAAATCAACGGTAAACAGTTACCATGGCGCCCTGAAACCGAACCAAATAGAATTCAAGTCTTGCTTGGAGACGTTCTATTGCACTATATGATATGTTGATATCGGTTACCGTGCAAGGACTCAGACAAGTTGTTCCGCTTGTGAATGTTAGATACCATAAATTGGTAGATTTGCCCGGTTAGGTAAATGACATTTTCTAATAGTTTTGTTTGCTATTGGTCCGGCAAAAGCGTAAAGGGTTGACGGGTGCCCAAGTGGTCATGGAACATCCACCTTTCTCTAGGTTTAGAGTATCGAGCATTTCGGGTCACATCCGATGTTTCACCATTACGAATGACCAAAATATCGGAATAATCCAAGAAAGCGGTTACAAATGTATTAGACATAAGGTGCAAGAGTTTGTTTAATAAATTGAATCACATATATACTTTAGACAAAAACTGATAAACAAAATCATCTTATAATAAGAAATGAGGTACTATGAAGAGCTTTTTACATGAAATTCTCCTTCAAAAATCATGCTTTAAGTCCACAATTAAGTAGTGATTTATGGGAGAAATATGTAAGCCGTTCTATATTTTTCAATTAAATTTTTTTCTATTAAACTATATTAAACATTTTTATTAAAGCAGTATGCCTTTATCAATCATGCTTATATTCTTAAAAAAATTGTAAATGTATTTAAAAGTAAACTTTTGGGAAGTGATAACAGGAAAAAAGTTACATATAGCTATGACATTTAATAGTCTACGTAAACAAATAGGTTAAATAATGCAAAAATAGTCACGCCGTAAAGAAATGGGTGATAAAGTCTGCTAAATCAGTCATCAATAAAGTAAATTAGTACTTTAATTTTAAATATTTTTTCTTTTTCTTAAAGTATTATAAAAACTTTTTTCTCAAGTCTGAATTTTTAAAAAAATGGCTCATCTAGATCGAGGCATGCAGCTTCAAACGTTTTTGTTCAAATTAAAACTAATTTTAATATTTTGAATCTATTCAACCTCTAAACAGTAGATGTATAGAAAGTCATACGTGTCCTGGTAATACACGTACTCTTTTTCTCCTTTTTTAAGTGATCAGACTGATCATCTTGGAAAGTTTCACTTAACTCCTCCTACCACAAGTAGCGCACCAATCGTGACTGACCACGTGACCTCTTGTCCGGGAATTTTCGACTGCGCAATAATTTGTAATAACGGATATAAAACTGATGCTTTGGGTTGTCCTGTTTGTTCTTGTGAAAATTGATTGTTTAAAATAGATGCTATTGTAAATTTATCTTCTCATTATTCTTCTAAATGATGTCAGTCTGTAAAAATATGCATATCTTAATGGACATAACGGGTCTTTAAGAACGAGGTAAAAGTATTCCAATTAATGGGTCATCTCTCCTTATTTAATGACTACTACTACTACTACTACTTCCACCACCACCACAATCTACTAATAATGTACTACTACCATCTACCAACATGTACTAACTAACTACTACCATCATGTACCACATAACTAACCAATCAATGTACTACTGATCCTCTACAAACATTTAACAAAAACATCTACTACTGACGCATCTACCATCATTTATCTACTACCCATCTATCCAATCATGTTACACTACTATCTTACCATCATGTACTACTAGTACTAAATCTACCACAATGTACTGCTCCTATCTACCATCATTGACTACCTAAACCATCTACCATGGATGTACTACTACTATCTACCATCATGTACTACTACCATCTACCATCATGTACTACACTATCTACCATTCATGTACTACTACTATCTACCATCAATACTATACATCTACCCATCATTCACTACATCTCCCAAATCATGTTACTACTACGATCTCCCATATGTACTAATACTATTCCCCATCATTATTCTACTACTCCCAAAATCATGACTACTACTATTTTCCATCATTACTACTACTATTACCATCATTACTACTACATCCCCATCATAAAACTTCTTACTATCTACCAAAAAATTATACTACTATCTACCACTCATGTACTGCTACTATCTACCACTCTGTACACTACCATCCCCATCATGTACTACTACTCTATCTATCCCATGAAACTACAACTATCTACCATCATGACTCACATCTTCCCACATGACTACTACTATCCCCCATCATATAATATCTCCACTCAGTACTACTTACATCTACCTTTCATGTACTCAACTTCTCCCCAAATGTACTACTAAATCTACCACATATACTACACTATCTCCATCATTACTACTAATTCCTCATGTACTACTACATTTCCTCATTAATACTATATCTACCATCAGGGTACTACTACAATCTACCACATATACTCTACTATCTACCATCATGTACTACTACATTCCCAATCATGTACTATACTCCCATTATCCCTTATACTACTTCACCATAAAAGTACTACGTACTATTCCCCTCATGTATACTACTTTCTACCTCGTATACCACTACGTCTACCACTCAATTAACTAAACCCAAATTCCCCATCTTTACTACTACTATCTACCAACATGTCTACTACAATCTACCATCATTATACTACTAAAATCTACCTAAATGTCTACTACTTTTTCACCAAAATATGTACAAACTACTTTTACCATCTTTTTCTACTATATCTACCATCTTACTACTACAATTACCATCATTACTTCACATCTACCATCATGTACTACACTATCTACCATCATTATACTAATTTTTCTACCATAAATATAAAAATTTTCAATTACCATCATGAAATATACTATCTACCATCGTACTTTTATATTACCATATGTACTACAAATGCTACCATCATGAAAATACTCTTTACCATCATGTACCACTCTCCCTCATGTATTTCTAATCTACCTTCAGTCAATAATTCTCCCCATCACGTACTACTACTATCTACCATATTATTACTTGCCATCTACCCCATTTACTATCCATCTACCATCATTTTTATATAAACAAAACTACCATTTGGGTACTACTACTCCCCATCATGTACTACTACAATCTACCATCATTACTACTACTATCTCCTCAGTACTGCATTTTCTACCTCATGTATACTACTATCTACCCATTTCACACTATCTACCATCATGTACTACTACTATCTACCACCATATACTACTATATCTTCCATCATTGATTCTACTATCTACCATCATGTACTACTACTATCTACCATCATGTACTACTACTATCTACCATCATGTACTGCTACTATCTACCACTCATGTACTACTACCATCTACCATCATGTACTACTACTACTATCTATCTCCATGTACTACTACTATCTACCATCATATACTACACTATCGTACCATCATGGTACTACTACTATATACCATCATATACTACTACTATCTACCATCATATACTACTACTATCTACCATCATGGTACTAACTACAATCTACATCAGTATACTACTACCTATCTACCATCATGTACTACTACTATCTACCATCATATACTACTACTATCTACCACCATGTACTACTACTATCTACCATCATGTACTACTACTATCTACCATCATGTACTACTACTATCTACCATCATGTACTACTACTATCTACCATCATGTACTACTACTATCTACCATCATGTACTACTACTATCTACCATCATGTACTACTACTATCTACCATCATGTACTACTACTATCTACCATCATGTACTACTACTATCTACCATCATGTACTACTACCATCTACCATCATGTACTACTACTATCTACCATCATATACTACTACTATCTACCATCATGTACTACTACTATCTACCATCATGTACTACTACTATCTACCATCATGTACTACTATATCTACCACTTTCTACTAACCATCACATGTACTACTACTATCTACCAATCATGTAACTACTACTATCTACCATCATGTACACTACTACTACATCATGTACTACCTATCATGTAGTCTACTACATCTACATCTGTTCCACTATCATGTACTACTACTATCTACCATCATGTACTAACTACGAATCTTACCATCATGTATACTGCTATCTACCATCATGTACTACTACCATTCATGTGACTACTACTAATCTTACATCACGTACTACTACTATCTACCGATCATGTACTACTATGCCATCTACCATCAGTTTACTACTCACCATCTAGGCCCATCCGATTGTACTGACTACTACTACCATCATGTACTACTATTACTATCATGTACTACTACTATCTACCGTCATATACTTCTACTATCTACCATAATTAACTACTACCATCTACCATCATTTACTACTACTATCTACCATCATGTACTACTACTATCTACTATCATGTACTACTACTATCTACCATCATTTACTTCTACCATCTACCATCATGTACTACTACAATCTACCATCATGTACTATTACTATCTACCATCTTGTACTACTACCATCTACCAGGATGTACTACTACTATCTACCACTCATGTTCTACTATCATCTACCATCATGTACTACTACTATCTACCATCTATACTACTACATTACATCATGAAACTACTACTACATCATGTACTACTACGTCTACCATCAGTACTAATACTATCTACCATCATGTCTTTATATTACCATCATTTAATACTATCTAATCTGTACTACTAATCTCATCAGTACTACTATATCTACCATCATGAACTTACTATCTACCACATGTATACTACTATTCCCACTCATGACTGCTACTATCTAACTCATGTAACTACCATCTACATCATGTACTACTACTACATCTATCGCCATTACTACTACTATTAATCAGACTTACTATCTACCATCATGTACTACTACTATCTACATCATATACTACTACTATCTACACTCATGTCTACTAATCTACCATCATGACATACTATCTACAACATGTCTACTACATCTACCATCATATACTTACTATCTACCATATGTACATACTATCTACCATCATTACTACACTATCTACCATCATTATACTATTCTACCATATGTACTACTACAATCTCCCATCATTTACTACTACTATCTTACCATCATTTACTTACTACTATC